TCTTCTTTTGAGCGGAAGCGAAGGGAATTAGCCACCGACAACATCTGAAAATGACTTTTGGGTGGATTTAATGGCTGCATCACTGTCCGTTAGCTAGCTACTACCTGGCTCTCAGTCTTTCTCCGCCAAAGATTAAACCACTCCGATAAAACACCAACTCTTCACATTACTTTAAAAGTTTAGAACAGGGAGAGATTCTATTTTCGGTTTGTGTTATTGTTTTGCACTTTAGCTCAAGTTATCTTCTTCAATCATAAATGGGTGTCACATATCACTGGTTAAATGGGGCTAACACAAACCTCTCTCAAAAAGTCCTTTGCATGTTTTTAGGTTAAAGACAAGAGGGAAAAGGCCAAATAAGCCCATAAATCTGCCTAACATTCCTCCTTCCTCCTTGCATTCCTCCTTAGTTCCCTTTGACCCTCTTGAAGAGACTTAGGAGCACTAGAAGTCCTCCTGCTTTTAGCTACTGGTTTCCTATACCGGACACTCTTATCTCCATCGAGAATAGAGCAGCGTTTTGCTGCTTCGATGGACAAATTTGTCCTTTTCCGGTGCCTCACATACCATCGTCATAAGTGACAAAACAGCTGGGTGGACAGCAATGGCAAGGAACAAGTCCTTCTCGCCTTTCTGATTATCGCATATAAGCAGAGGCTAGTAACACGACAGAGGGACTGATAAATGCACAGAACAAAAAGGGAGAAAAATATAGTTAAAGGAGTGCCATCGATGTTGCTTTATCTTCGATCGACACATTGTTAGGAGAGTGTAAAGTCCTTCGGACCGTCCGTTCGTTTAGTCACCCAGATTGCACCGACACTGTGGAATTGTGTGAAAATGTTGTAAAGTTTGCCCGATGGAAGGAGTATGCGCCAGACCGAGCAGAAATGGACTAAACTTATCTCCACTTGGCTCGACTAGACGGTACTGGGAGTGGACTAGAGCCCACACAACCCTCATTCCAGTCAGAAGGAATTGCCTTCACATAGGCTCGCCGTTTGCTCTTCAGC